GACGAGATACGACTTGGGCGATGACCGCTTGTGCTGCATCAGCGAGACGTATCTCATGCTCTGTGACTGCACGAGCGATCTCGTCTTCCGCACGCCGTTGAACGAGTTCAGTCGAAGCTTGGGCCGAAGCTTGTGTCTGTAACGAAATGATGCACTTAGTACTGAAGGAAGCGGGAAGGGGAAGACGTGCATACATCGGCTATGGCCTGAAGCTGAGCGGCGCTCAGGTTCGCCATGAGGTCAAGCTGTTCCTCACGCCAAGCAGCATTACTCGCGTTGGCGTGCTTAAGAGCCGCCTCTTGCTGACGCATTGCAAACTGAAGCATGTCGAGTGAGAGCTCTTCATTCATGAAGTCGGATCAGCGAGACATGACGTGGATAGGACTCGGCAGTCAGCGTGTGGAACGTCGTCGTATGAGTTTTCAGTTGCAAAGTATGTGCACTCCGCGGGTACAATGTTTTCCGACGCGCTTTGTATCTCGCATACCGCCATTGACACAGCCGCTGAAGTACGTGACGCTTGCTTCAGCTCCCGAGCCCCAAATGAGGAATTGATTGACATACCGCGTTGCTGAGCTCGCTCATCCAGCACGTGCTGGTCGCATCGTGAGACTGCAAGTCCGAAGCACCCAGAACGGTAGGAGTACTTGTCGAGTAGAGCTGATCGACATTCATTCGTGCTAGTACGCTGAGTACTGGAAGACGTACCGATGTCGCTCTTGGTAAGCAGACCTTGACTCTTGAGAACTTCGAACTCCTCGAAGCTAGCTCTGGTGGTGGGATCTGCGACCGCTACCTCCGGGTTGACAAACGAAAATATGCGTGTTGTCAGCGCACTCAAGGTCGATAGGCTGAACGCGTTGACCGAGAGTGAACGAAGAGACAGTGCGAGTATAAGTACAGAGCGTATGTGCCCAAGAGAAGAGACCATTGCCGACCCGAAGGCGTAGTCCAGATAAGGGAAGAGTGAGAGGCGAGACGATGGCGGTTTGAACGCAAGGAATACGAACGCGCTCGCTTCCTTCCGGCGGCTCGGCTCAGCTTGACGCGTGACGTCACGCTGCCTATGTTCGGGCGCCCACGTACCGTCCGACTGCGAGGGAA